GAAGTCAAATTTATGCACTCAAATTTCTAAGTTGCAATTGGACTTTTTTTCCACCCATCCATCCATTCATCCAATTCTCCTTATCCAGTTCAAGGTTGCGTACTCACAGATTTTCTATTAGATAAATGGGAACAAGACTTAGGTTATATTGCTTTATTAAAACTAATATGCAATTTCATTAAAACAGCTTACAGTAGGAATAATCAAAAAACAATTTTGCTCCTATATTTCATAGCGACACGTCATGAAAAGACAAAAAGAAAAGAAAGAAAGTCACTTTGGCCACCAATAGCACTACCAATTTCAGAATTGGTAGTGCTATTTTTCCCCAAAGAGTTGATTTGCCATTAGTTGAGGCATCATACTATACGTATTTCAGCTGCACTGATAATTATCACTGTAAAACTGTGAAGGAGATTTATGGGTGTATTCTAAAATTCTAAAATATTTTCTGTTTCAAATGTACTTAGCTGTAGTAGAAATGTAAACATATCATTCCAGCACACCTTAGATGAAGATTACTGCTCAGGGTTAAGGTTGCGGTCAGGTTGGGCACCATAAAACGTGACTGGTTAGGGGCACTGAAGACAACAGTCTGGAATCAGACTTTATTTCCCTCCATTCTACTTTTGTGACTAGTGTATTCTAATGTTTGCCCGTCTTGGAGCCATAATACAATCAACGCCAACCCGCTGAGAAAAAGCACAAATTACATGCAATTTGCTGCAATCAGGTGTTAACAGTTTAAAAGCTCATGTTCATGTGTCATACGCAGTTTTAAATGCTTAGCTCTGACCTAAGTAATCCTTTTAACCTCCAAACTAATTTTTTTTTTAATAATATTTAATTAAAGGTGAAATTAATGTGTGCCAGTCAAATATATATTTATGGGCCCACCTGGCAGGTACTGTAACTAATCTCAACATGTGACTGCAGATTATGCAGTGCTGCATGCTTTGATTTAGTGCTATATAAATCTTTACTTTGCTAATATTATAACTTGGCTAAGCTTGAGCCTGCAAACAGCTGGTGCACTCTGCTCATAGTATATGTTTACTGAGGAAACTGTCAAGCAAGGATGTGGAATTTCTCAGCTACTTTTCTTTTTTTCAGCCACAATCTCACCATCCTTAGGTGTCACTAGCAGCAGACAAGAATTAAAAAAGAGAGCAAAAGCTGGATAATAATAGTAATAATAATATTACAGGGAGTGCAGAATTATTAGGCAAATGAGTATTTTGTCCACATCATCCTCTTCATGCATGTTGTCTTACTCCAAGCTGTATAGGCTCGAAAGCCTACTACCAATTAAGCATATTAGGTGATGTGCATCTCTGTAATGAGAAGGGGTGTGGTCTAATGACATCAACACCCTATATCAGGTGTGCATAATTATTAGGCAACGTCCTTTCCTTTGGCAAAATGGGTCAAAAGAAGGACTTGACAGGCTCAGAAAAGTCAAAAATAGTGAGATATCTTGCAGAGGGATGCAGCAGTCTCAAAATTGCAAAGCTTCTGAAGCGTGATCATCGAACAATCAAGCGTTTCATTCAAAATAGTCAACAGGGTCGCAAGAAGCGTGTGGAAAAACCAAGGCGCAAAATAACTGCCCATGAACTGAGAAAAGTCAAGCGTGCAGCTGCCAAGATGCCACTTGCCACCAGTTTGGCCATATTTCAGAGCTGCAACATCACTGGAGTGCCCAAAAGCACAAGGTGTGCAATACTCAGAGACATGGCCAAGGTAAGAAAGGCTGAAAGACGACCACCACTGAACAAGACACACAAGCTGAAACGTCAAGACTGGGCCAAGAAATATCTCAAGACTGGTTTTTCTAAGGTTTTATGGACTGATGAAATGAGAGTGAGTCTTGATGGGCCAGATGGATGGGCCCGTGGCTGGATTGGTAAAGGGCAGAGAGCTCCAGTCCGACTCAGACGCCAGCAAGGTGGAGGTGGAGTACTGGTTTGGGCTGGTATCATCAAAGATGAGCTTGTGGGGCCTTTTCGGGTTGAGGATGGAGTCAAGCTCAACTCCCAGTCCTACTGCCAGTTTCTGGAAGACACCTTCTTCAAGCAGTGGTACAGGAAGAAGTCTGCATCCTTCAAGAAAAACATGATTTTCATGCAGGACAATGCTCCATCACACGCGTCCAAGTACTCCACAGCGTGGCTGGCAAGAAAGGGTATAAAAGAAGAAAAACTAATGACATGGCCTCCTTGTTCACCTGATCTGAACCCCATTGAGAACCTGTGGTCCATCATCAAATGTGAGATTTACAAGGAGGGAAAACAGTACACCTCTCTGAACAGTGTCTGGGAGGCTGTGGTTGCTGCTGCACGCAATGTTGATGGTGAACAGATCAAAACACTGACAGAATCCATGGATGGCAGGCTTTTGAGTGTCCTTGCAAAGAAAGGTGGCTATATTGGTCGCTGATTTGTTTTTGTTTTGTTTTTGAATGTCAGAAATGTATATTTGTGAATGTGGAGATGTTATATTGGTTTCACTGGTAAAAATAAATAATTGAAATGGGTATATATTTGTTTTTTGTTAAGTTGCCTAATAATTATGCACAGTAATAGTCACCTGCACACACAGATATCCCCCTAAAATAGCTAAAACTAAAAACAAACTAAAAACTACTTCCAAAAACATTCAGCTTTGATATTAATGAGTTTTTTTGGGTTCATTGAGAACATGGTTGTTGTAATAAAATTATTCCAACAACTTGCCAGACTGTCATAGCTTGCCTGACATTTGGTGTGTGTGTGGAAAACAAAACGTGGAGAAACTGATAGAAACACTTGAGGAGTAAATCATAATTTCCTGTTTTAGACACTATATCCTATCTTACGTCTCACAGGAACTGTTTTTTAGCAAATGATGAAAGTCAAAATTAAAATGAAAGTTAACCAGCAGTGTGCCAGCATCAGCGTATCAACATCCTTTTTGTTAGAAGGCAAATTAAGTAAGCACGTGACGGCCTTGTTCAGGAGTAGTTTGGAGTCTCTGAGATTAACACAGTGTGGGCAAGTGTGGTGTAGGCATGAACCCACCCTAAATATAGGGCTCGGGCCATAATTTGACCCATGTTACCACGTAACGGTTACAGTATATGGCTAAGTGGTCAGTTTAGAAATACTACTTTATACTTAATGTAAATTTCTACCCCGCTTTTGAGAACAAGCTTTTCGTTTCAAACAACAGAGGGAAAAAAATGAATGTGTTTAAAACCAAGGAGTTTTTCCATGTGGTCAAAGAGGTCACCTGAGGATCTGAGAGAGGCCATCTGAGAGATCTTTCAAAGGTGCTGAACTAATCTAACAAGCTTAACAGCCTTCAAGTAAAGCTGTTGCTCTTAAAAATCCTACAGCGTGTAACATATAACACCTCTTAGTCTGAATTTAGAGGTCTGAAGTTAGAGGGACCATGTTCAGACTCATCCTTTCCTATCCTATCCCACTTCACAATGTGACATCATGGCACGGTTTCCAATGTTGCTGCTTGTTTACTTTGCTTAGAACCAACTTTTACTGGGCAATTAATAGAAGTCTGCCCCCCACTGGAGGAGGCATGTGACAGCTTATAAAAGACAGCTGCCATTTTTGGCAGTTCTTGAAACAACAGAAAGTTTGAATCTCATGCTACATTCAGTTCTAAAAAAAGTGTTATTTGGTGACTATATGGCACTAAGTGTTGTTTTCTTGTGTGTTGCATTGTTTGTTGCCTCTCTATCCTCATCTTTTCCATTTCCTTCCCCCCCCCTTCAAACCAGCTTTGCGGCACATGGCCACCCTCCCTGGTCCTCCTGGAGATGTTTCTCTTTTTAACCCCCTTTCACTGCCATATAAATTCTTATCATCGATCACCACCCACCTCTGCTCCTCTAGATTTGGGTTGTCAAACATAAGCAAAAACTCCATTCGAGCCCATTGGATGGCTTTGGAAATTTAGGAAAAGTGGGCATTTTTAACTGTATTTTCACAAGCTTTACAGCTTTTCCTACTGATAAAGACTTCCCCTATGACCGTTCATACAACACCAAAGCAATTAAGCAATAGATTTCTGTGTTTTACACATTTACTTCTTACAATTCAAGCCCAATGAGTCATGCTGAGAGATTTCTTTAATTTACTACAGAGGCATTACTTTGCCATGTAGAGAGAGTGAGACATACTGTTGAATTTGAGCTTCTTTTTCTCATATTGAGATCTTGCATTGATTAAATGTGTAGTTAAATTTCTCTACACTGACTTAAAGGGTAGTTTCACTGGTCTGGCCTGCATAAGATCAAAGTGGGCTGTATGTGGGAATGATATTAAATGAATTCACGTCTCTGCTCTAGATAAAGAAACCACATAAAAGGTGGAAATTATTTTACTTATATTTACTTTTATTAACTCTTAAACATTAAAGTGTTGTGGTACTAATGAAAAAACTTCCGAGGGTAATAAAATCTGCAAGCATATTATTTCATCATACATTCAACAGGTTTAAAGCCCGTAGATCACCGATTAACATGAAAAAGATATGAGCTTTGAGTGGATTATTCCTTAGAGTAAATATCTGATTCATTTAAAAGGCAGAACATTACAAAAAGTCATAAATAGATGTATATCTTCACTATATATCTGATCATCTAGGCTCAGTATACTGTTATATCAACTAGCACTGGGGGTCCACCTGTGGATTGCACAGCACGATTTTTCTCGCAGTCCCATGACAATCAGCTCCAGATAAATCAGCTCTTGCAGATAAAACACCTCGCCTTTCCATCTATAAAAAAGCAGTTTTGCTTTTCCCGCTCTGAACCACTTCTCTGGAAATAGCGGACTCCATGTAAAAGAATTCCGAGCGCAAGAGCTGGAGGCGTGAAACTTTCACCTCAACTTTTCCTCCCACCCTCGGCCAATAACAGGGCTGGCCCTAATATACGGGCTCCTCTGATTTGCCCGAGTCTCCTGTCCGCAAAGTGAGTGACAGCCTGGGGGGGAAGACTTCTTCCTCTTCTGTGCGTGTGTGTGTTGCCCTGTTGAGTTGAAGGGGCTCTACGTGACTGAAAGAGAGGGGCCAGCACTTCAGATCGGAGGCGCAGCGGTGCAGGACAGTTCAGAAGCGCAGAGAGGAGAGGAGTACGGGAGAGACGGTGGCCGTCCGTCAACCAGCTGGGGGAAAACACACACTAACAAACCCTTATGGCTGCTTGAGAAATAACGATATACCCCCCCTCCCCCCTTTTTTTCTCTGGGACTTTTTTGGCTTTTAGTTTTTTTTTTATTGTCCTGACCAGAAGTTTTTGCAAGTCTAATTAGCTGTTGAAAAAGTGAATCCACTTTGCCGTGGACGTCTCTGGCGGTCATGGATACCCATATAAGATGGAAAGTTAAACGGAGGATAAGGGACGTCCAAATCACTTTATCCGTGATTCTCCTTTTTATCACGTCGCAAGCGAGCTCAGGTGAGATGCAGCTGTGTGGGGCTTTTTTCTTTCTTTTTTTGTGGATGCACTTTGGAGGAGCGTTGCACTGAAAAGTTTTTTGCCTTTTCGCTCATAGTGGACCACAGATGTCTGCCCCTCCTCTTTAATGTATTCATCTTGGTGGTGTGCCCCGAAACTATGGGAACTTGTCAAAAAGAATTAAAAGACTGCTTTTGGAGGTTTCATCTGCAAGTTGTGCTTAAGTTTTTTTTTGTTTCTTTGTTTGCCAAAGCAGTATAGCTGAAGTGCATTTATTTATTTCAATGCATAAAAAATAGGAAATATATGCATTAATTAGTAACCATCATAAGTAACTAGTTTTTCTCTGGCATACTTATTATGTAGGAGTAATTGCTGTGGTGCATCTTAAAGTCTAAATACTCTTTTACCAGTGCTCCTTTTTCAGCAGATGAGAAGGATGAGTATAATTTCATAAGAAGGAGGGGCTGAAGCTCCTCTGAAGTGGTAGGGTGGAGCCGCCTTAAGGACTCCACATCAGGGGACAGCGCTGGGGCCCTGCACTGAGGCTCAGGCAAACACATCTTTCACTAAATGCATTCTATAAATTCTCCCGATGTTTCTCACTGACAGTTATATGAGTCTAGTCCAAAAACATGAACAAATAATAGTTTGGTATGCCAGTTAGAGGCCCGCTTATTTTAATTGGAGAAGTGACCACCTCTTTGTCTCAGTGGTGAGAGGGCATGCAGTTGGGTTTATGCTTGGCCTATATGTATTATTAGCGCCTTAAGACTGCCTGGCATGGGTGGCAGGCTGCTGTGTGCTGTGAAGGTCTGACACAGGACATTGAGATGAACAGATGGCTTCTTCTGTCTGCTCGGGGCAGTTAAAAAGCTTCCATGATTGTGCTGATGATGTAAATTTGTTGTGATGCCTGATTACAGCCAATTATGGAGTTCAAAATGCACTCCGGTTTAGAAAGCCATGATAACATATAAAGTTGAAGTGGTTTTATAGGTTCATGTCGTTGAATATACACTAAGAAAATTACTGCAAAGTGTTTATTTTCATGTTTCCTATAAACACTGGTTATTAACTGGACAAAACCTTGGTCACTGTATGCTGGCTGGACTCAAATCTGGGTCATTTGTGATGACTGAGGAGGAGTTGAATTTTTGGTGGGACATTAAAGAGTGTGGGCCTGAGGTCATTTTGATGGTGGTGGCTGGATTTAATCATCTCTTGAAACTGACAGAGAGGAACGAGAGTTTTGTAAGAAATCCCTAAGGGTTCTGGTATATTTTCTGAAACTTGACACACGCCAGACAGGAAGCACTTCATGACTGATTGCAAGAAACATGCCAACTCCATGAAAGCTTTTTTTTTTGTGAACTAATTATTCTGTCCATCAAATATCTTTTAGATTTTTACATTCATTTTTTAAAATTAGCTGCTTTCAGTTAAACACTGTGCAATGCAAAAATGAAATCCAGTTTAGCTATTAATAAAAACTTTTCTCTTTTTTTTTTGCTAAATGGCTTTTCTAGACCTCTTACAATCAGATGAGACAAATAGTCTACAAATAATTACTGACAGCTAGCAAGTTTATCACAAGTGAAAGCTTATTGCTGACCTAAGCCTCATCACCTCTTAGCCTGAGGGAGGACCAAAATGCATCAAGCTGAAGACTAGTAGAGACCTGCCCAGGCATACAATACTAATTGTTTAGGGCTTGTCAGCTATGGTTAAATTAAAAACCAAAAATTTAAGTATGCTTTTTTGTTTTTTTGTTTTTTTAACACTGAAATCAAAAAAGGACAGTTGAGCAAATACTATTTACTAAAGAATTAATGTTGTATTCATGTTTTATCACCAGCTGTTTAGGTAGTATGATGCTAATTCCACAATGGTTTTTGTTTTGAATACAATACCCAGTCAAGATCATAGCCCAACAAATTTCTTATCAAATGATATATAATGTGTTCATAAATCTATAATTAATGTATTTCTTATAACTAAAATGCGTATAGAGCTCAATAAAAAGACAAGCAAACAATACAGCAAGGCCTAACCTATTAGCAGTTAGCATATTCTTTACACAACGGGTTACTTACCCATGAAGCATAACTACATTTTCACTACATTTGATTCAGAGCCTTTTTCACTGTGAACTGTTGGCATGTGATACATTTTGAAACACAGAAATGAGTTAATAAACAAATACTAAAACGCCACATTCTGTAAACTAACGCATTTGGGAAAACGATGTTAAAATAGCCTGCTATGTAGAGCTAAGCTAATTTGTTGCAGCTTTATTACAGTCTCTCTTAAAGTATAAAAGACAGTCTTAATGCTGTGTGTCTGCTGTTAAATGTAGCTTAGCTTATTTGATGCTGACCAGAATTGAATTATGTGGAATAAGCTCCTTACTCATTATTTTATAAAGACAAATACAGAAATATGCATTGAATTTATACTGTGATTAAGTTATATACTTGTATCACAGTGTATATATTTTAATATTTTGCGGTCAGTTTGTCTTTCAGTAGACTTACGTTTGGAAAGATCTTGTCTTGGTATTAGAGAGGAAAAACTCAGTTTAAGCTATGTGAAAAGTGGTAATAACAGAAGGCCCTGGACAAGAATTTGAAGAGGGGTCAGAGTTCAAAAGTGAAGGTCAGGACTGCTGTCAGGTTTACAGTTTCACTGCCTGAAGAGAGGCATTCTTTATAGTGTAGCTCCTCTCATCTTTGCTTCCCATAATTCTTCTCTGTGTCTTGGAGGCAGCAGGGTAAGATGTGAGCTTTTCAAAGAACCTTTGCAACAGTTTGAAGCCAATATAAACCCTGAAATGCAGAATTCAAATTAGGATTGATTGATATGTGTAGTCTCGACTTTTTAGCTTACTGATGTTTTCACATGTCTGTGGGACACAGTATAACTGCTATAGACTAAGCTTATTTTAGCTCTAGCTTATTTTACAAATGGTTTCCTTTGTGTTTCTGCTGACTTGCATTTTTTAATCTGGCCTCCTCAATCAATGGACTCTTTTCACAAGTATTAGATAATCTGCTTTGACTCTTTTTTCTTTGGTTTGTTGTTGTTTAATTAAGTAAAAGGTTTTTTTTGGATCACCCTTGTTAATACCAGACATTTAAACCAGTTCAGATCGTACTTGTCGAGTGTATTTTAGTCATCGAAAATGCTGAAATAACATTCTTTGAATACCTTGTGCAAATGAAAACATGAATGGGTTTTGGCCAAAGTCACCAAGGGCATTGAAAATATTGGAAGAAAAGGCTGACAGGCTAATAGATCCCAAAATATGGTAACGACTTGAGAAATACCCTATACAGTAAGAACTGATATGTGTTGATTCTCTACATAAGTTTTAAAGAAATATAGAGAAGAAGGCCTCGCTGTTTCTCTGAGCTCCTTCCCATCTGGACTTGATAAGTTCCATTGTGCTGTCTGCTAAGCCCTTCAAAAAGCCAGAAAAAATGGCTTCCAGATGTTTTCTTCCCATTCTATGTGGAACAGGGGACCATGAAAAAAAAATACTGCTGCATTTTTTTTCAAGTGAAAATACATTCTGTGCTAGTTTTAGAGAAGATTTCTAATCAAATAACATCTGCAGTCTTAGAGCAGATTTTATAAAAATAATGATGCTACGCCTTGCATTTCAGCAAGGTTTGCACATTCACATTGAGGGCTGTTAAAAGGTTCTTTCTGTTTAAGCACGCCAGGTTTATGGCAGGGTTAAAGGTCGACTACAGCTGGTCCACAGCTGTTTTTTATTTATAGTCTCATATCTGGAAAACTCGTTTTCAAAAGGAATTTATGTGGCTTACTCTGATTTTGACTTTTTTTTTTCCATATACCGTTTTTCATGAGCCCAGTAAGAAAAAAATCATAAAAGATACTGTGACCAGAGAGATTTTAACCAATGACATTACTTCCTGATTGGTAATTGCATATAAGTTTATATAAATTAAAGGCAACAATGCCAATGTTTCATTTACAACATTGGGTTTTAACCTTAAGAGGGATATTCAGATTTATGTTAAAATCACCCATCTGCCTTAGCTTCAATCTTCCAGTGAGAATGTAACTGTAATTTCTGAAGGGCTTTTCTTACTTACCTTGAAGTGGCAATCCTGAGATCACGTCAAACTCAATCAGATAAATGGCGATGAGAAAAAGTGGCTTCTTGTGTGTGCCTATTGCCATGGCGCTGAGGAAGGAATCCGAGTTAGCTGTTCTGTGGGGAGAAGCAGTGACCCTGCAACTGCATGTGCCACTTCAGCCCTGTAAATACAGGCTTTGTGGAAACGACTCTGTAAATCAGCCCTAATGCCTGATAATAGCATGGAAGATAAAGCAAAATATGCAGGACAAGTTTTTGACCCTGTGTCAGAGTTAAGGAGATCCTTTGTGCTGCACAAATAGTTCGTTATTTGCCATATCTTGGAAAGTATATCGTCTAGTCCTTTCCAGACTAATTAAGGTTCAAATAATTGTGTTGAACCTCTCAATGGTCCTCTGTACTCATGACACAGTGTGCTTGATTTGAAGCCAGTGGTAGATTTTTCTCCAAATTAGCTTATTGCTAAAAGCACACAGACATAGATGGATCATTCCAGCTCCAAACTACAAGCAAACGGGGACGATGTGTTCCTTACACTCTCAGAATGGAGACAGTGGTGTTGGAAATGTCAACATGACCCTACAAGTGATGTAAAAGTTGGATGCTCTACCTAATGATGCAACCCCCCACGCCTGTTTTTGATTTCAACCGTATGCTTTGTTGCAGCGTGTAGTGCATGGCAGAGTGAAAAGTGAATTCTGGTCCAGGCTCACAAGCCGAGTATTCACTTTAGCTGGGAAACAGTGCTTCTCTCTGTAATGGGGTATTATAATCATTGAGCATGGAAAGCAATGTATGACTCATCCTTTCCAACCCCATTCCCCCTTCCCCAGCCCGAGCTAAGCCACAGCCTGGGCAGCAGAAATACTGA